ATACAGATGGCGTGACTTTAAACGTAGCCTATGAATTGCGAGAAGTGGAGGAAGTTTGTGGAAAGGTCAGGGAAGAAATAAACTAATTTATTATTGTTACGTGGACTCGACTTTGATTTATTTTCTCTGGATAATTTAAAAGATCCCACCTGACGAAATAATGACGTTGCAATATGTATTTATGTCGTTCAATTTTGGGTTTTAGAGACTTTGAAAGGATTAGTCCATCTAAATGTGTAGTGAGAATTGTAAGTGCTTAAGGAAAAACGAAAAAGGTACACACTGTTAAGACATCGAGTTCACATGACTAGTATCACGCCACGGCATTCTCGAACTTTCACGTCTTTTCCTTAAATCTCGTGATCTTTCTAGATATAGTGTAGTCTTGTATATATAAGACCGGCCACGAAGCGACGGGGAGACAATGAGTAATTGAACTGCAGTCAGAGAGTGTGTAATTGAACTGAGTATTGTCGAGCACGAGCACGTGAGACGTTCTTTGAGAATTATAGCGTTGTTATAGAGCGACTGTTGAAATTAAATGTATCGGTAAAGTTGTATTCGGAAAGAATAAACCAGTTTTATTTAAGAAAGGACTTGTGTCGCTAAAGTTTCGTCGGAACGAATTTACGGAAAATTAAGTAACGACTGGAGGCGTAACAATACATTTAAGAAGCTGAGTCGATTTCAACCGCAACTCTTTCGAAACTGAGCCAGATAGAGCGGTATACGCGTTTATTTTTATAAGTATATGAAAACATTATTGGTATATTCTTCAATAATTCTTTCAGTTCACTATGTTTGGATACTTAAAATCATACAATCGCTAATGTGTAATACCAACAGTAACTTATCTACCTTATGATTTTGTACATTTCTTCTTTCATTCACTCAGTATTTGTAATATAATTTCAACTATCCATTAATTCAGTTCTTCTACTTTCTTTACGTAACGCGATGTGTATTTCTGGGTTTTCTTTAACGTAGCACGAATTCTAGTAACTTATCAGGGCCATTCTTGAAATAAAATAAGGTACGTTAAAATCGTTCAAACAAAATGTTGAAACTTGATTGATACAAAAACAACTGATTTCCACCGAGATTCTTGGATTGTTTGTTATGGATTTCGCGCAAAGCTACACGAGGGCTATTTGCGCTAGCCGTCCCTAATTTAACAGTGTAAGACTAGAGGGAAGGCAGCTAGTCATCACCACCCACCGCCAACTCTTGGGCTACTCTTTTACTAACGAATAGTGGGATTGACCGTCACATTATAACGCCCACACAGATGAAAAGGCGAGCATGTTTGGTGTGACGGGGATTCGAACCCGCGACCCGCAGATTGTGAGTCGAGCGCCCTAACCACCAAGCCATGACAGGCCAAGAAATTCTTGGAAACGACAATTCAGTTTATATGTTAACTCTTTGGAAAAAGCCATTGTTTTAGTCCTAATTACTACCAGAATGCCATGAAAATGTTTCGTCGTTTGTTCTATTGTTTTATTCTTTACATGTGACTTGTATTTACATCGTGACTGCCATGTCATGCTTTGTTAAAAAGTGCACGTCTTTTTTAATCATTTGTAGAACTTGAGTGCTGGCCTTTTTATTGGTTGTGTATACTGAAAATGATACAACGTAGTATGGTGTCATATAAAACGTTTACTCTAAGTTAGACGATATGGATTACTATCCTAGCTGGTTATGTACACAGAGTTAGTAAGATAAGGAAAGCTGAAGGTGTTGAAATACATTTAAATGAGGTGTGAGAATGCAAAGGATGAGGTGAAAAATTATTGATGTTTGTAATCCTCACGTTTGAGATACAGTTGTGTTATTTTAATCTGATTATACGCTAGCTCTGCCTGGATGAGCAAAATTTTGCGTGGTAATGTTCTGGTTCCTTGTTCCGTTTCTGATAGTCATCTATATATAAGTAACGCAATTAACTGTAGAGTATAGGGAAAGCGGGAATATATTTAGATGAAGAAAAAAACACAGAAAATACAGTCAAATAAAAAGTAGAATAAATGCATTAAAACAAAAACTGATAACAAGGAGTGTGCAATTGTGTTGAATCGAAATTTAAATAAGTAGCTGGAAATTATAAATAACGCATTAAAAATTTTGCCCTTTAGTGTTCGCACGTTCAACTTATCCTATATGCATTGCAAAAGCACACTGAATAGTCCTACTGGTTACGTAACTTCTAGCAAGACCACGGTCGAGGTATTCTCTTTCAATACTCTTGAATTGTCTTCGTCTTTTCTTCCTTCTCTTAGAATTTAAACAGTAATTTCCAGAACTCTGTGGTAATCTTTAATTAAGAAGCATGTTAGAATGAATAAAGTGTTTTTCTTCCACGCATATAAGAAAACCATTTGTTTTGGACAGTTCTTCAATGATAATGTAGTTAGTAGTTTTCTGATCTATACAGTGGGCATAGCAATTACATCTTAAATGTTTTTCGAACTGAAATCAACATTCAGATTTCTTAAAGCTTTATTTCTATGATACTTATCCTGCCAAACACTAAAATTCTTTCTTAGAAATTACAAGCTGCCACGGCCATATTTACGATTAAAATAAAAATCATAAGTGTTAATCACTAAGATAACAACGTAAGAAAATCTGCAAACCTGTCATCTTCGGATTTAAATTTTCAGTGAAACACGATCTTCAGAAATTAATATGACTCACCAAAGGCTACATTACTGTCGTGGTATGTAGATATTACACATCCCACTCTCTTATATATATATATATTTAACGCGGCGAGATTCTTTTCAGTATATCAAACGAATAGAAAATATACCCTTCTACTGGGTGGAATTTAAGTACTATCAGCATAGCACCAAAAAAACTCAGCTGCACATGCTGATGAACTATGATGCTTACGCTTTAAAATACACCCAACATGGTGCTAGCTAACATAAAATATATTTTGATCAATAAGTTTATAGAGGCATTTCATAAGTCCATGCAACATCACTTGGGCATTAGAGATGTTATATGTTTAAAAAAATCTGTCGGTATTGAGAAGGTATGAGGATGTAACCTCAATCAACTTGTTAGAGCAGAAAAAGAAGGCTACAGTGTAAGTGCAATAGTTCTACGAAAGTCTCAGTCCATGAGTGTGTAACTCCACATTATAGGAGCACACAACTCATGGAATCATCTTTACAGACACCATATGGTGACTCAGCTTAGCAGAAGAGATGTTCTTAACCTGATGGTTCAATTGTGCCAGTGGTGCTATGGAGAGATGTCCAAAATCATAGAGAATATAATGGAGGATAGATATTTGTTACAAATGTGGACAGTTTGGTCAATGGTGATGTAGTTACCCTTTCACTGTGTCTACATAGGAGCCCACACTTCCACTAAATAGTCAAGCAGTAGAAAGCCAGCTTAAAAGAGATGACAGGCTATACATTTTAGTTTAAACAAGTGAAACCTGGATCAGATCTAGCCACTGATCTGTGAGAGAACTGCAGTCTCTTTGTTCATGCATGGTATGGAATGCACACAGTTGAAAAATTGTGATTTTTAGAAAATACAAAAAGACTTAGAACTCCACACAATTTCATGATATATGAGTAATTGCCGTGTAATTTTTCCTGTCAATGGCGACAGGCTTGTAGTGAATAGACAAGCTCAACTATGCATCAGTATTGGTGTTATAACTAATTATGTGAGTATTATTACATAACTTGTCCAGAGCATAAGTACTTTAGGTACAGATAGCTTAAAACTGATCAGCAGATATTGCCGATGTATCAGATAATTTGCAGCTATGAGGCGAAACCATAAAATATTGACCAAGTTGAATATACGGAAAGTTGACTTCATTAGTGTATGTAGATGATGATGATACAATTCTGTTTAAAATACAAGTGGTGTTTTAAAAACACAATGCTGCGTTTGTAAATATATTTGAGACACACTATTTTCTTGTTAAAATGTACGTCATGCTTGTTTAGGCAGTTATATCTCCAAGAGCAAGATACATTCCAGTTAAGGTTTGTAATTGTTGTGAGCCTGTTTGTCACCAATAGTAATTGTAAAAGAGAAAGAAAAGGTTCTATGTGGATCTTAGGTCGGTGAACATAGTAATGCATATTCACTGCTTAGTGGGGGTAAATGTTTAAATGTATTTGGAGGAAATCTACTGGATTAAAAAGAGATATTTCATTAATTGCGGATATGGATGTCGATAACTATGGAATTGGAGCAGTACAATTACAAATACAAGATGGTGTATAGCGTGTTATGTTTTAAGATACACAAGCTAACTACTAACATCTGCTAGTTTTAATTTTTCAATAAAATTGTTCCCACTAGCTGGTCTTGTTGTTGTGATTGATCCTTCTTTGTATAGGCTAGGTTTGTATGAATTTCTGCCACTTTTGTTTTCCATTGAGCTCTTGCACTGTGGATGGAACATTTGTCTTTTTTTTTAGATCTAACTTTCAGCAACTAATATTCCTTCAAAATACTGGATTCACATACCTTTTTTTATTGAGAAGACCCGATAACGGTGTACTTAACTTATCATTCGAATGCCACATTGGTAGTAGGAATGTTAAAATAATACATCACAATAATAATTGTGTATCTTAGCATTTCTACTACGCCTTATGTTATACACTTTTTTAAATAGAAAATCATATTGGAAAAGTTAAGCAAAAAGTATTACTTGTATTATTGAGACTTAATGTCACACCTACTACCAATTAAAGGGTCGTTTTATTTGTTTATCAATTTAATAACTGAAGATATAACAGTTCGAGCATGGCATTAATAAATGTAAGGTCATTTTTTTATCTTTTTAAATATAAGGATGTTTATTGTATTTCTTTCATTTTTTATATTATCGTAACTCTAGGTATTCAACCTTAATTTTGAAAGCATGTAAGCTTCCATTGTATAATGCCTTTGATTAAATCAGTTTGGCACAAAATGGCTCCAACAATGTTATATTATTTATAATTTTGTTAGTATCTATTGGCGACACCTCAGAGAGGGTCTATTAACCACGCTTTATTGCACGAAAGCCCACGGGATAACTGTTAAACTTAAAGTGATGTAACGAGGAGAATGTGAGTAAAAAATAACTTCTTTTACTAATTTTAGTTGAAATTTGAGACAGTGTTTAGTGTGGACCTATTTTTTATAATGATATTATTTTTCATTTACCTGAAATACAAAGATGATATTTTGGAAATGGTCGAACAAGGCATTACGATTACTACTACTAGTAGTACTATCTGTATCACTATCACACTGCTTCTGAAATTTGAAAATGAAATGATACTGATAATGATATACAATGATAGTCATTAGAAATGTTTGATAAAATTCAAAAGCTCGATTACGTTTTAGTGACGTGAAGAAATCTTTTAAAAGCCTTTTCGAGAATAAGCATTAGAGAAAGTTAGTCTTATTTATACTGAAACCTACTACATGGTTGATTTTAGTGACGTGAAGATATCTTTTAAAAGCCTTTTCGATAATAAGTATTAGAAAAAGCTTAGTCTTATTATTCATACTGAAACCTACTACATAGTTGATTTCACCACATGGCTGCTAATAAAACTTAAAAGGGATTATGCAAGTAGGTTATAAATCAGTTTTCTGATTTGTAATACTGTATCACAACTGGCTTTCTATGGTCATATATAAAAATAACAACGAACAGTGATAATGCATTTCAATATTATTTTGGGTACTTGATAAGTATTTATTGATTCACCAGACATTGCATGATCTTGCAAACAAATTGTTTTTTTAAATTAAAGCAAAGATATTAATTTAAATTTATGGTAGTTACTCTTAACTCAGATACACTTAACTGTAGCTGTCATGGAATTGAACTGTTTTATTTAGAGGTACTATGTCTTTTTAGTAAAGGAATAGCAGCCTTATTGAACATCTGAAACATTTTTGTGAGTAAAATGTGTAAAGATACTAAATATTAGAAATCAAATGTAACCTTAAATAATAAAGTATGGTTAAATTGTGCTAGTGTTTTATAAAAGTGAAATTTTAGTTATAAAAATTATTAACATGGTATTTCGTAATGTAATTACTGTAAAAGCACTCAACAAAACAATTCAAATGGATGAAATCCATTAGGCTTTCCGTGAACTTTTACAGTGAGTGTTACTCAGACTAAAATCCATTTTAAAACTTGACTCCTTCCCAAACAACTTTATAGATTCTACCATTAGTAAGATTGTTCAACAACTACCACTGTACAGGTCACTGAATTATGATACCCCAAAGCTCTGAGTAATGATCTCTTCACAAACAGGTTCATACTCATGAATCTTTAAGAAATTAAATGACATAACCATAATCTATCCACAAATTCAACTTCAATATGTGTTTAAACTTTTTGTTAATTCAAACTTTTTTTTCAAGTTTAGAGATCTGCAGTTGACCATCTTATCTTTTGAGGCTTCAAAAATGTTTACATTTTCATGCACTACAAAGCACAAAAAATATAATAATTTTAAGTTTCAATTATGTAAAAAGTGAATGAGTTTAGCTTAGAGCTTTACAATAATTTTTTGCAGATGAAAATCTATAAGTATTCGACACTTCTTAGAAATAAGAATCATTGTGAAATAAACAATAAAGAAGTTTACAAATGCAAATTAAGGTATGAAATAAGGATTGCAATGTCTCTCTGCTGCTACAGTTTTCACACAAAAAAAACAAATATAATTTTTTCATGTCCTTTTTTAAATTTATTCTTGCCACTTCTCCATTATTCAACTATTAGTTTCAAGAATATAGAAAGCTCTGTCTTTATGAATTGAACATTTTTTTTTAATTTTAGGTAGTAAAAAGTTTGGTAGATGGAAAATAATTATCATTGTCCATGTATTAAAAAGTATGTAAGGACTAGCATTTTATGTGGATGTTTTTAGTTTTAGTGATTCATAATAACATTTTATAAGCATTTTAGTTTAAGCAGTTTTTTTTCTGTTTTAGTTATTTACATAGCAAGGATGCCAAAAAAGCGTGGAAAATATCAGAAACAAAGTAACAGTGCACAAAATGACAAGTTTATGTATAATCCGAAAGAGGAGATAGAAACTACAAAAGAGAAGAATGTGACAAACTCAAGCCTTGAAACATCAGTTTGTACCAATGAAGAGAAGACTGAGCCAATGGAGGTAAGTATTAATTTTGTAAAGAATTTAGTGATATATATTAAAGGGAAGAAAATTGTGTTAGAGTGCTAATAACTAGGTTTAGTTTACAGAATGATAAACTCCTGGGCCAGATGATATCCTCCCAAGGGTTTTGGGAGGTTAAGGATTGGATATGTGCACCACCTGCTACCATTTTCTTAAATTCTCAAGGGAAGTTATAAAAATTGTCCAAGTAATTATAGGCCTATTAATCTTACATTAGTGGTGAGAAGAAGTTTTTTGAAAGTCTGATAAAAGACGCTTTGCAAAATCAGTTAAAAAAAATTTAAATTTTGTTAGATAGTCGGCATGGTTTCACTAGAGGAAAATCTTACCTTACTAATCTGTTGACATTCTTTGACTTGAACCATCCAAACAATTTACTGTTAATAGTAGCAGAGCATATAGGATTTTAGGTTGTATCTACAGAAATATTGAGTATAAGTTTAAAAGAGGTTATCATTTCATTGTATAGGTAATTGTTCAGGCCACATTTAGTGTATTCCATTCAGTCTTAGGCCACTTACCTTAGGAAGGATATTGAATTGTTGAAAAGGGTTCAGAGGAGGGCTACTAGTAAAAGTTGTCATACGAAGATAGGTTGAAATCTGAAGGAGGTGCAAACCTTGTTTCATCAGGAGTTTGCTTCTTACATGAGGCTTGAGCCACCTTCTCCACAAAGGCTAGCACCTCTTCAGGCTGATGAGAATGTTCAGGATGAGGATGATTCAGACAGCCTTTTTCTTGCTCTTTCTTTTGCCATATGACCATGTCCAGCACCTTTGGGAGGAGGTTTAACCTTCTACTCCTTTCCTCCAATTAATTACACAGGTTTGTCACATTTTGAAGGTTTTTCTGTTTCCTATGATGCCTCTTATTCCCTTTTGTGTAAGATCCCTAATTCGGACTATTTGTAGTTTTCCCTTTCACCTGAGATTAAGATTCATGTACAATGATTTTTATCAAAATTAAGTTTGGGGTTAGTATGCCTCGACCCCCTCGATTTGCTGACCAACATGCTTTAACATTCCACCACTCTTCAAATCTTTATTTGGATTCCCAATAACTAGATCCACTGTTATCCCTCTGGGGTTCTAATCCTGAGGCTTCTGTATCATTTTCACAGGGACAATTTTCAAGTAATTGCCTTACACTTGGTAACATTTTGCATTAGCTTTCCTCTTTGCACCTTTGTCCAAAGTTTTTATTATTCTCCTGACAGTTTTTCAGAGGATCTCAGATCCCTTCTGTGGTCAACTTTGGTGAAGCTCTCTTCATTGTCTCTTAATCTACTTATGTGGTTGCTTTGTTGTTGGGACTTGTTGGGGAGAGATGCACTGCTTGCAGGGGTTTGTTTCCCCTCTCTTTCCTCATGGACTTAAGGATGACTGTTTTTGCATGACACAATTTTTGGGGACCCATTCTGATTCATTGAAGTTCCATGTTGATGTGATCATGTTGCATACTTCCCTATCATCCTTTGCTAATCGATTATCCCAACTTTCCTCTTTCACAGCTCCTGATCCTCTTCCTGCTTCCACTCCTTGTCCTTTACACACATTTTGATGTTATCCATGTTTTGCCTTTACTTGTCAAGAACATCAATTGTGGTATAGGTGACTACAGAGTAGGGTCAGGTCCAATGGGGGCCAGGCTCCACTGCTTTGTTGACACTTGGGAGACCTTCACTACCAATCTGTGAGTCTTGTTAGAGGGTGTTTCTCTTCCATTCTGGTCACCACTTCCTCTTTCCTTTCCCTCCTCCAAGGGATCCTGTCTCAAGCGATCATCTGTTTGAGGCAGTGAGAGATCTTTTTCTCAAGAAAGCTATTGAGCCAGCATTTTCCAAGAAAACTGGGGATTGATTCCTGTGACTTTTTAGGAAATTGTGCATTGTGGAAGTGTCAGAACTAGGGTAAAATGGTTATGGATATTGTGTGGTGTAAGCTGACTCATAATTTAGTCATCCAAACACATATATGCTTCATTATTAACAAACCAATTGTGATAGATGTACTACAGCAGATTATCAACAAATACTTGGCAAATACAAAACCTATTAAAAAAAACCTAGACTTAAATATAACACCTCTAATTTAAATGACAAAAAGTTGTCACAGAGTTTGTTTCTTGTTTTAATATTTTGTTGTGCTCCCTCTGGCTGGCTTTAGTAACTGCTTGACACTGCCATGGCATAGAGTTCATGAGGGACTGAATGTAGGTAGAGGTGAGTTCATGATGCCTTGATGCTTCTTGGTTTCTTCTCTTGAACTTTTTTACCCATTACCTTCAAGCAGTTTTCAATAGGGTTGATATCTGGGCTATTGCCTGGTTAACATAGTGTCTTGATCCTCTCCCTTCAAAGATAGTCTTTCATCTGAAGCAATGAAGTAAAATCTAAGATGTCTTTTCAATACACATAGAATGAAATTTCCTCTTTTATTTCCCAACTACTTCATAGAATGCATGAATATTACCCAATCTTTTTAGCCTTGTAGCATAGAGCAGTCATCCTAAAATATGCACTGATCAGCTCTGTTGAAGTGTTTACGAATTGTTGGCTTTAACCGGGATTAGGATCTCGACATATTTGTCAGAATTGATAGTGCCTATTACAAGATAAAGTGTTCCCACACCCTGACTAGAAATTCATTTCCTTATTATCTGACACTGTTGATGATTGACATCAACATTGTGTAAAGTGCTTCCCATCAGACCTGTGCAGGTTGAACTTTGATTTGTTTGAGGAGATCACTTTGCTCCACATTAATTAAGTCCAGTTAGTATGCTCCTTTGCTTAGTTGAGCCTCATCTTGTTGGTGAGGAGTAGTTTCTTTCTTGACCATCTTGCTGGGAGACTGGCTGAACAAAGGCTAGGGCGGATGGTACATGTGGTGACAGTGCCTTCTAAGGTTTCCTGCCATGCTCTTTTGAGATCTGTGAACAACAGTTGATGATTCTGCAGGCTCACACACTTCAGAACATGATCATCAGCTGCTCTACCCCTACCTTTTCACCACTTCACACAAACAGTCTCTGTATATCTTTGCACCCAGCAGTTCACAGTAAACTGGTCAAATTTTATTCTTCTAGCAAACTGCTTTACCAAAAGTCCCTCTTTGCTTAGAGAAACAGTGACTGCTTTTTTTCGTGGAGTTCACTCGCAACCAATGGCTATGAGAGCATTACAAGCACATTGTAGTTGATAGGCTTCTAAACTGACTTTCAGTAAGAACCTCTATTTATAGCAAAAAAATGGCTGGTACTATCCCAAACAGCTTATAAAGCTGCTGATGCAATAAGTATCATCCTAATAACATATTTGTACCTAAGACCTCAAAACAGATGGTGATTCCAAAGAAAAGTGTGAAAAAATTGAGTGATTCTGTTTCCACAACTGTAATTCATACTTTTTTAATCATATGTCCTTGTAAAAATGATCAAAATGAATCAACATCTTAGAAATTTATGAGAAGACAGACACAAGTAGATCAGCTATTTGATATATATGAAGACTTTAAATAGACAGAACTGTTGCATAACTACTAAGTGATTTTTCTTATATCTAAGTATGCATCAAACAGTTTTATGGATTTCATTTTTTCAAGAACAGTGAAAGACTACTTGTATATTCTGAAATTTATAAGAATGCTAAACAAAATTTGAAGTTTATAAATTACTGATTTGTTGGTGTCTCTAGATTCTCATCCTTATTTAGATTCAAAATAGTTTCAACTAATACGCAATATGATCTCAAATCTGTCACATTTCAAAATGTAGAACTGCATAAAGTGATTGTTGGTTTTATTGATTATTCCAATATATATATTCATGTAATTAAAAAAACATGAATTCACTGGAAAGCTTAGACATTTTTTAATGTTTTATTTGCTTAATACATATATATTTTTTAAGCAAATTGAGCAGTCTATTCTAACTTAAATATTTTAAACAAAACAAACACATTACTTTTGTTTTGGGCCTCGTGAAGTCAATCGTACACAAAAGAAAAAAGAAAAAAAAAATCCAAGCTTGGATGGTTCTCAGTATTTGAATGCTAGAACCAAAGCATGTTCCACATGTTGGGTAAGACTTTTCATCTTTCTTGATACAATAATGCCTGCTACAGGAAATATTTGGTAGAAAGCACTGGCACTACCAGTTTCATAATCAGTTGTGGTTGAAGAAAGAAATAATGTAAGTTACATACATATATGACTCCTCATCACTAGTACCACCACCAGTTAAAAGTTTACGGCAGAAAATATGACTCATTTTGGGATTACTATAGTGAAATGTCTGTAGGTATGGCATCAATATTTGTCAAACAGGGCATGACAAAGAATTTATTGTAGTCATCAAAATTTCAGTTATTTCTACCACTTTTAAAGCAACAATTTAAATCATTATTGTGATAGAAATTGAATAAAGATGCTATCTCAACCATAAGCCCCAACTAGCAGTATGTATAGTGAGCACTTGTTCTAGCAACAGTTATGAGCGAAGAGAAACCAGTTGCTTCTTGAAAATACAGAATGGCCACTGTTCTTACATCACTACTTCAAACTCCTTAAGTATTGAGCAAGGATATGTGAATGAGAATTACTAACGAGAAAATGAGCATTCAATAAATAAAAGACAGGCTTAATGTGGTATGTTGATAAGAGTGTAGTTTTACATAAATGCAAACCAAAAATACCTATGTCTACTAAATAGTTTTTCTAAAAATTGAATGATAAATGTTTATCAATATAAAAAGTACATTATGTTAAGATGTATATTAAGTTTCCTTAAAAAAGCCTAAGGTTGCTGGTGACTAATTATTTAATAAAAGAATGATTGCTTAGAAAACTGTATATTTACTTACCATACTAAAACTATTTCAGTTCACTTAAATAAGAAAGTAGAATCATATGTTTTGGAAAATATCACAATTAAATGGATATATACACATATGTTACTGATAAAAAAAACATTAATCTTCTTGTTACATTCAGAATGTAGGTATGTCTGTTATGTGTTTGGGTCAGATTGACCCAGTGCAATTTCATACAAATTGAAACAGCTTTGAATTGATGAAACATTATTATTTAGATAACTTTTACTCTTTTATGTTAAACATGAGAAATTAATGTAAACTATCATTATGATAAACTCAAAAATATATTTGATTTCTTCATAATATATGGAAACCAGTTTCGGGTCAAATAGACCTGAAATATAATAGGAAGATTAACAATTTTTGTAATTTGTTATGAAAAATAGAAACTTATTAAAGTTATAACAGTGAATATGTAAACTTTTTTGTAGCAATATATTAAATGCATCTTAGCCACAGCTTGTTCATGGCAGCTGAACCATGATTGGTATATTAATACTATAAATCAATGATCTAGTAACACAAAAATGTTGTTTTTACTTAATTAGACACTCAACATTTTGCTTTACAGTGAAATTAAATAATGATTGGTATCTTAATAAAACTGTTCAGTATCTAAACATCATTGGATAAATAGGAAGCTAGTGTGTTTTTTTTAGTGCTGTCATGTAATACACTCATTATACAATAAGATGAAGCAAGAAATGGTAATAAGCAAACACACTCACTGATTTCTCTGTACTTGTATATTTATGATGAAAGCTTTCAGACCAGCAATATTTTCAGGATTAAGTTTTTTCTACACATTCTTATTGATACTTTTAAGATAAATAATTTTTTTTTCTCATATTTGTTATTGTCTGAAACATCAGATTAATCTGATTTGTACGCAGGTTCATTTTTCTGAAATTGCTTAACACTGCATTGTTGTGAGAGGCTGAAATGATGCATTACCGTTGATGGCAGTTTTAGATTATCTGGAATTGTAGTATGTTTTCTAGATACTTATGGTAACTTGTGTGCTTTCAGCAAATTTCTTTTTTTTTAAACTGTAGCGTACAGACCTAACAGAGACAGGAAGGACCAAATACAGTCGAAGAAAAATAACTAGTAACTGGAATCGTTATGAGAAAAGTACATGTGATAATGAGATAGAAGAAACATATCAGCAGAAGGGTGAAGATTTTGAGGTGATTCTAGGTTTTTCAGGTAAACTTCTTTGCACCTAATGGCAAAACTAAGTCGTTACTTTTTTTTACTTTTTCTGAAATGATACAAAAAGAGATGGAGACAGATTGCTATTAGTTTAAGAAATCTTTTCATAAGATACACAAAGGAATGGGGAAAAGAATTGATTGAAAACTTAAAGGTTTTAAAAATTATGCATAAAACAGATTTTACAGATAAATAAGGCTATCATAAAGGTAAAAAATGAACAACAATGAAGTAAAAATAAAAGATACCTTCAATGTAAGATAGCTGAATTAGATGGATATAAAAAAAAAACTAGTTAGAAAGAAGTCCTAAAGGTTTTGTTATTGAGGGAAAACTGTTTTCTGGTAGTGATACTGTAAAGTTGAATATAAACTAAGAGAATATTTTATTTGTAAAATATTAATATGTCATTGTATATATAATTCTGTGAATTAGGTTCACACTTATTGAAACCATAAAATTGTGTTTAAGATCTCTTTTATACTTAAAATACTATTTCTGTTTTGTTTTTTATTTATTTCATTTTATTGCAGGTTATCTTTGTTCCTAAACTTTTTAGTTAGAAAACAATGCACTCAACCTGATTTGTTAAATATTTTGAATTAAAGATAAAATTCAAATGTCAAATATATTTTAATATGTAATTAACAATTTGTTATTCAGAGGTTGAGTACATTATATTAAAGTGATTTTGAAACCCCACCACACTGTTACAGTCTATATTGTTACCTTTAGTCATGCTCTATTTGACATTTATGCACCTAGACAATAACCATGCAGTGCAGAAGCCTCCATCATGAGACTGTCATTTTCTTGCATGGTTTCCATAATTCATTTTCTTGAGGACAACAGCTCCCAGTGCTTGTTTAAACTCTCTGATTGCACAGAGATCCATAGGTGCTGAATCCAACAATTTAACCAGTATGTTTTCATCTCGTATACCATGAATACCCATTTTGTTCCCCAGCTGCTTAAGTAGTGGTTGAAGGGATATGTCGTGGAAGAAACTTATGTGATATGACCTGTAGTTTTTTCAGGCAGAGATCTTTCATGATAATATTGTATAGTGTTGCTTTAAACACATGAATGGCTTTTGCCACTGACCATTGTGTTCATTAATTCTTACCTTTTACAAGATGATGCAATTTGGTTACCATGGTTGGAGTATAATTTGTTTCAGATCTCTTTCTGGATGGTCCTAGTGCCTCAAGTTGATCCATATTCAGTTGTTTTTCAGTGCTATTAGGTGCAAGGGATATTTCCTTCTGGAAATTCTAAATCCCAATCTTTGAGATCTGAATGTATAAATACTATACATAGGAAAGGACTCTTCATATACTTCCCAAAATTGATCAAAATTTGGTAGCATCATGCTACCTACAAAATGCTAAAAAATATTAAAGTGTAATTGAGATTCATGCCATTCCATCCTGATATTATATCAGCTGTGAGTGTCATATGACTTGCTGATTTGCACATCTAGAATTATTTTAAAGTAACATACTCAAACCTCTGTGTACTTGAAAGGTCCTAAATGTGTTTCAATTATATGTACATTGTTTTATTTGGCTAATTTAAGCTATATGTAATTTTTTGTTTGCCATTATTGTGAGGATAGATCAATTAATAACACAGTTAGAAAAAAGCACTTTTTTTTCATGGAATCAAAATGGAATATTTGTTGAAAATAAGGTGATTCATCCAGCCAGTTGCGCCTACAAGATGAAAAGGAATGGGATGAAGATGTCAATGAACAACCTGATCTTGATCTTCTGAATATTCATTGTGATATTCTTGCCAGTACATTGAAATGTATTCCTTTACACAAGAGACTTGGGCTCTCAGAAGAATCTTTGACGGTATGATAGTAATTATAAGCATGTCCTGTGTTTATAAACCAGTTAGGAATATTATATCATGCTGAAGATAATGTATACAATTTTATGAGGAAGGAAATAAAATTATGTACAACAATAAATATCAAACATAAAATATCCAAAAAGTGCAGACGTGACTGTGCTGGAAATATTGGAAAAGGTAATTTTAGAATAGCATAACTAATTTTTCATTTTCATTTATTTATTATACATATATTTGTTTTATTATGAGAATTATTTTGTATTATTAGTTCACTATATCAATTTTAGGATTAAGCTGGTAGAACCTGGTGAAATATTATTAAGATTACATTCTAAAATATTGAAAGCAGTGAAGGTATCCAACTTGTGATTCATTAAATTATACCCAAAATATGTTTTTGTTTTATGACATTGCTTATATCTGGCTAGATTGATGTATTAAATTAACTATATTATTTACTAGGTTAAGTTTTGGCTCTGATCTACTTAGGTAGCTTGTTTTGATGAGAAGTTATTGATAATGCATCTTAGTTGGCATTTGCTATTTATGTACTATTAAGTGAGCTTCACATTTGTTTGAGCTACAGAAATACTCTATTTTATGCTATTGGTAGTTTGCGTATCATAAATCATCTGTTATACTAGTTTTTTGTACTTTGTTTTAACTTTGTGCCTGTAGACATAGATGTAATTGCTCATTCAAAAAAATTTGTATAAAGTTTACAGGAGGACAGAATCAAGGAGTTTACTCTCAAAAAATTTTGTTTATTCTACCTAAAATATTAAATTATTCGAGGAAAATATTTATTCAACACCACTTAAGGTAAAGGTCTGACTTGACTTTCTGTTAGAGAAAACTTTCCTTAACATTTCTGTGCATGCTTTAAAGTCAAAATATAGTATTATTTTTTAATCTATGACACTTAGTTTCAGGGTACTGTACATTCTTAGCCAAGCTGCATTGATGTAAAATCAGAATGACCCCCCATTTTTTTATTAACCATGAAATCAGAAATAAACATCCTGTGGAATTGAAGTTTTCAGCACTGAATTTTACAATGATATTTTTTCACCTGTGAGGAGTTAGAAGCTTATATACCTTATCAATCAGTTGGAAGCTGTGAAAGAAAATATTATATGCAAAATATATTTTATACTTGCAAACATAGCAGACATTTCTAACTAAAGGCAATTTATGATTACAACTATTTTCATCACTACTTAATTAACTTGTGTAGTAGGAGTCAAAACAAGGTTTTTCTTAATATAAATGTTCTTATATCATTTTACTTCACAGGTTATCGTGTTCATACGTACAGTCAACAAGTTTTCTACATTGTCAGTTTATAGCAATGGGTAATATTTCCAACTAAAATTAACCAAATACAGATGTAAGCAAATCATTTTCTGATATCCTTTCTGCTTTGACCAGAAAGCTAGTGTAATCAAAATTTTTAATGGCAGTACACTGGTTACTACTTCAAAGTAATTTACTACATAATTAACTACATGCTGATTGTGTAAAAAGTGATCTTTGGGTTAAGCTAAATAGTATTGTTATGCTGGATATTCCCCTCATTATGTGCTTAAACTAAATGTGGTCAAAAACTACTGAAGTTTATACTATTATGAACTGGATATCATCCTGGCTAAAAGCTGTCTTGTTGATCTAATGTATCTGTCTGTAAACATGAAAGTATTAGTAACATATTGCATATGCATTAAACCATAGTTCAGTTGAAGGTAATTAGCATGTACATATTAATTTTATCATATTTATTATGTAAAGCTTATGACTGATTTTGTGTAGTACATATACACTGAGTGGTTACAAGTAAATAGACACCTAATTTTTCGTCATTTAACTGATTTATGCT